AGGAGAATATAATGGATGATGATGAGGTAAGTTTTCATGTGTAGCACACGTCGGGCTAAGAGAAAATATTACTCACATCTTTGCTAAAATCACTGGAAGGCGAGTCATCCCTGCAATAAGAAACAGAAGGGGACCTTGAGACACGCGGCGTCTGTGGGCGTTTTAATGGGAGTCGGCGCTGGCATGGGCAGAGCGGCTTTCTAGGAACCCAGGCTGCAGCCCGCATTTCCCCACGGAGCACGGAGCACAGAGCGCGGTGGGTGCTCCAGGACCCACCATGGGAGCCTCCAACCATCTTTTTTTTTTTTTTAAGGGGAAATTGATAAGCCTTTCTTCTTTTTTAATTTGTTGATTTGAGAGAGAGAGAGAGAGAGAGAGAGAGAGAGACATTGACTTTTCGTTGTTCCACTTACTAATCAAATTCATGTGTTGATGAGGGCCGAGGCTCTAATAATCATTGAGCCAAAACCGGCCAGGGCCATGGGTTGATTCTTGTATGTACCCTGACAGGGGACCAAACCCACAACCTTGGTGTATCAGGATGATGCTCTAATCAACTGAGCTACCTGGCCAGGGCAAATTTTGTTATTCTTGATGCTAACTGAATGGAATTGTTTTCTTATTTTCATTTTACCATTACTTATTCGAGTGTATAGAAAGACAGTTGATTTGTCATATTGATATTGTCATCCTGCACGTCACTCTAGCTTTCTGAAGTTGTTTCCTCCCCTGTGACATGAGAGAGCCTCACTGCACCTTCATGATAAAAATACCCAACAAAGCAGGAATAGAATGGGGACTTTCTCGACTGACAGAGGGCACTACAAAAACAAAAACACGAAAAACCCCGCAGCTAACAACATACTAAATGCTGAACCAGTACTTTTCTTCTAAGATTGGGAGCAAGACAGGGTGCCCACTCTCTCCGCTTCTATCTGACACTATGGTGGAGGCGTTTAGCCAGGGCAATTAGCAAAGAAAAATAAGTAAAAGACATCCAGATGGAAGAAGACGTAAACCACCACTATATCCCTGGGAAACGGGATCTCATCGCGCCCTTGTCAGGTTGAGGAACCCCCCTTCTATTCCTGCTTCGTGGCTGCTTTTGTCATGAAGATTCAGTGCAGCTCTCTCATGTCACCGATGAGGAAACGTTCCGAAAAGTAACCCAGGTCTTGGTCTCAAAAAGCCCGTGGTCTGGTGATCAGGGCAGACAAGGAACAGATCAAAAGTGTTCCTGTGGGGCAACAGCTCACGGGAGAGGGTAGAGGTGGGAGGAGGCACAGAAGGGGGGTGCCGAGCAGGGTCTTTTGGAGGGTGGCTGGACTGCCCACCTTGCACAGGGCATCTGTGGGGGCACTTGACTCCATGTTCACATGGAGTGAGAGCCAGGTCCCCTCCCAGGGAGAAGTCAGGTCCCCTGGGCCCCAGGGCAGGGGCGAAGGACTGCTATGGCCCCAGCAGGCGGCCCGCAACGGCCTCTTGGGAAACAGTCTCTGCTCCCCGCACTTTAAAGCCACGCAGCCCACTCAGCAGAGGCGTCTTGTTGTCTCTTGCAGGGAGAGGTGGTGGAATACGTGGATGACCTCTTGGAGCTGGAGGAGACCAGCTAGTCCACAGGAGACAAGGACATTTCCCTTCGATGTTCAGGAAACACAGATTCTTTGCCTTCCTTTTCTCAACTGCCCAAGTGGTTGATACCTCAAAGCCTTCTCTTTATTCTCTGAAGTGAAAGGGAAGCTCCGTCTCTCACTACATATAACAAGGGGTGAGCCTGCCTTCCCCGTGACCACACCTGCTTCCCCTGTGTTCACACCTGCTTCCCCCATGTTCACACCTGCGTCCGCTGTGTTCACACCTGCCTTCTCTGTGTTTGCACCTACCTCCCCATCTTCACACCTGTCTTCCCCATGTTCACACCCACCTTCTTCATGTTCATACCTATCTTTCTCACCAGTCTTTCCAAGTTTTCCCCTCAGAAAAACCCAGTATTATTTTTTAAATAAGAAAAATACTAAAAGATGATCATCGCGAAAACCTACTTTGACCTTTCTGCTCTTCCAGATTTTAATCTTTTTTTTGTCCCCATGAGCAATGAGAATCTCACCAGGAGGACTAACAAGGAGCCACCTTTGAGATTGGAGAAAAACAGGAGAGTGCGGGGTTCTGAAATCTGAGCTCTTTAAAATCAATCTTATTCCCTCCTCCGATAAGCCATTTAGTCTAGTTGGGACACGCCGGGGATGGAGGCAGGAGACAGGACTTTCCCCACAATGGCCTGGAAAGGAATGAAGGGACATTGAGTTTGGGGGCTTTAGTATGAGGATGAGTCACTGGTGGTGGAAAACAGGTTTTTGCTTTTCCAGCTTCCTTTCCCCCACCTCGCTGTTCCAGCCTCTGGGAACGCGATGCACCCTATTTCTCGTGCGGTACTGTCCTTCCCCATTTCCCTTCTCCTGAGAGCACTTCCTTTTTTACCTACGTGAAGCCTCTAGGCTACTCAGCTCAAGACAGTAACCTACGCCTGTGGCTTTGGCTGAATTTGCCCACATCAGCAGAGTCTGTACTCCCAGGGGGTAGCGTGGCCAAAGGAGTCAGTGTTCTTGGCATCATTGATGGCTGCACCCCAGCTCATGGGATGCGGGGTTCTCCTTTCTTCCCTTGTCCCACCCTCTACTCCACCAGAGAGACTTCCTGTTGAAGTCCGTGGGGAAGAGGGTCATAGGACAGGACTACAAAGTAGAGGGGGACTCAGGGAGTGGACACCCAGCCCCAGGGTTCCTGAATCATGGGGGTGGTGCACCCAGCAGCTGTTTAGCTCCCCTGAAGCTCCTGGCTGCAGTTGACCTTCCCAGTGTGTGAGGAGATGCACAGAGACCACCACAGGGCCAGGGCTGGGGGTCTGACTCACTTCACCTCTGTGGCCTGCAGAGCTTCCGCTTGGTCCTCCGCCTTTGCATCTGAGTCTGGGCTGAGCTTTGTGTGGGTGATGTTTTTCCGCACGGGCTTGGGTGGTGGTGGTGGTGGTGGTGGTGGTGGTGTCCTCATTCACTCTCTGAACTTGGCCTCTTTTCCCTCGGGATTGAAAATCACCTCCGCCCCCATCCTAGCCATGTCCCCTGAGGAAGGAACCCCAGGGATAGTATGATCCACATCGTCGGCACCTCGCTTTGGTGGAAGGCTGTAGAACTGAATTATTATACTGTTTACTTCAAGGGAAACAACACCAATCTGTAAAAACAAAGAGGTGAGCTGATTTCTCCAAGCCCACCATGAAACCCTGGTGTGCGGCTGCACTCTGACCTCCACCCAGCGCCTCCCTGAACGGGTTTCTTATTTGGGCCTAGAGGGTTCCTGGATTGAACCTCATGGGTTCAGCATCGGTCTGCTCTGTCTTTGAAAAAAACAACAACGAAAAACGAACACATTTGTGAGCTGTGTGAATTTCCGTACTTGCCCACGATACCTCACTTGCCCTCTGACCCACCAAACGGTTCTCTGTTTGGTGTCCTCAGGCTGGTCTACCCAGGGAGGCCGCCCACCCAGGGGCTGGGGCGGGGGGATCTGTCCAGCCCCATCGCTGGTCTGGTAACCCAGGCAGGGACACCCATTGGGCAGGTCTGAGGCGACCCACTGAGACCCGTTCATGTTCGGACATTGGCAGTGAATGGCTGAGGGTGTGTGTGTGTGTGTGTGTGTGTGTGTGTGTGTGTATACATAGGTTTAAAAGGGACTAATTGTCTGAAAATGTCTCCGATATCAACATATTCAACGTACTAATATCTTTCTGAGTCCTGAGACTTTCTATTTACTGCCACGAACCTGTTGTCCTCACCTCGGATCCCGGAGAACCACTGGGTCCATCGTCCACAAAGGCCGCCTTAGGAAAGGTTGCTTTTAGGGCTTCTTGCTAAGGGAGTGTTAAGAGCACAAAAATTGTATTGAACCGAACTCAGTGGCAAACAGAAAATGATCTGTTAGATTGTCAGCGGGAAAGGTTTATTATGACTGCCGGTGGGATAAACAGGGGCCGGTTTCTGCCAACATTTATGGAAATAACGTTTTTAAGTTTTAAATGTGAGCTGTAAACCTAAGCGCCTTCAGTTAAAAAAAAAAAAAAATTCAATGCTGGAGCTGTCGGGAGGAGGTGGATCGGTGCCAGAGCAAACATTCTCATTTAATAGTGTTTGCACATGGAGCTACAACACAGTTTGTAGCGAGGCCCTGAGAAAAACCCACAACTAATCCTTCATCGCAGCTGTCTGAACTCTTGATCATCTGCCATCCCCCAAACAGCGCCTTCTTTTTTCTGGTGGCTCCAGGCTTGAATGACTTAGTGTGGAGAGTTTAAACGATATGCAAGGCGGGGAGGGAAAAGGGAAGGGAACCTTAAATAAGCCTCAGCCAAAGGTTTTGTGCATTGCACTTCCTGTGCTTGCAGCCGGGGTAGGGCTGTTCTCCACCCCGGACCATCTCCCCGAGAGGGGAGAGGCCACGGCAGCCCAGCTTCGCCTGGGCTGACCCTCTCCTACCCCAGAAGTGAGTCAGGAGCGGCTGGGGTTTGTGCCACAGTAGGATGCTTCTCTCCCTAGGGCAGGCCTGTGAGCCACCAGACCTTCGCTCCTAACATCGCCCCACAGAGATCTGGCTTTGGGGCTTGTTGAAGAAATGAATTGGCTCACTACCTCCTTGCAGCTGGTAGGGTAAGATACTAGTGCCTCGTTTTACCAGAAAAGAAGAGGAAGAAATTAAGAAATGGGGCCTGGCCGGCATGGCTCAGTGGGTGAACATCGACCTATGAGCCAGGAGGTCACGGTTTGATTGCCGGTCAGGGCACATGCCGGGGTTGCAGGCTCGATCCCCAACATGGGGCGTGCAAGAGGCAGCCAGTCAATGATTCTCTGCCATCATTGATGTTTCTATCTCTCCTTCTCCTTTCCTCTCTGGAAAAAAAAAAAAGAAAAAAGAAAGAAAGAAAAATGTGGCCAACAGATCCAGGAGCAAACACAGAGCGCTACTGCCCACTTTAGGGTGGCGGTCGGTAGGCCAAACTATGAAGGTTGCTGATGTCTTTCCATCCTCCTCCCTTGGGTAGGGCAGTTTAGACCATCTCGCTCTTGTGGGAAATTTAGAGCCTGGGAGGTTATTAAAAACAGTGATGAGCCGTAACTGGTTTGGCTCAGTGGATAGAGCGTCGGCCTGCGGACTGAAAGGTCCCAGGTTCGATTCTAGTCAAGGGCATGTACCTTGGTTGTGGGCACATCCCCAGTGGGAGGTGTGCAGGAGGCAGCTGATCGATGTTTCTAACTCTCTATTCCTCTCCCCTCCTCTCTGTAAAAAAATCAATAAAATATATATATTTTTTAAAAAGTGATGATTTAAAAAATATATATCACATTAAATGTCTCATTTTGCGTATTTTTACAGTTTTCATTCTCTATCCGCTGGATGAGACTGCCTAACCACACCCGGTCATTCTGGGCTTCCTGTTCTAATGAGCTGTTTGCTCAGGCCCGTGAGATTTCTGACATTGACTTAGCAAAGCAGAGCCCTTTCCCCAAGGACTTCTGGATCTCTCGCAGCAAGTGGTCCTGCTTAGAGCCATGAGCAGGCCCAGGGCCTTTCAGGAGCTAGAGGTTCATTCTCCCAAGGAAAGTTCTCTCTCAGACACCTGGGGTCACATTAGGAAAAACTTTTTTTTTTTAATTGATTTTTAGAGAGAGGGAAAGACAGAGAGAAATATCGATGTGAGAGAAACATAATGATTGGTTGCCTCCTGCACACACCCTGACCAGGGCCCAGGCCGGGGAGGAGCCTGTAACCGAGGTACATGCCCTTGACCGGATTGAACCCAGGACCCTTTGGTCTGCAGGCCGACACTCTATCCACTGAGCCAAACGGGCTAGGGCAGGAAAAACATTTTGAATCCAGGCCTTGCCTTGGATCTGATAAGTTGGTCTGAGAAGTGACAGAAGAGTCACTACTGCACGCCAAGGACCAACAACATCTTCGGGCCTGACTGCCAACAGCCACCATGGCCCATGCCTGTCACTACAGGCCAAGCAAGGAGAAAGGAGGGCATAGAAGGAGGCAGATCGAAAGAGTGAGGAGCCAGCCAGTGCAAAAGCAGACCCACGGTAGCGAGAGTTCAAACACCAGCTTCTAGTAGAAGCGGAGGCAGACACAGATTTCATTGATGTCGGCCCAAGAACTGTAGAGGATCCAGTGGGGAAGTTTGGAGTGAGGAGTGGCGACATGGGAATGAGAGTTTGCGCGTTGACAGATGCCTTAGGCCTGGATCCCTTGAAGTAAAGCCTGTGAGAGAGGTGAGTAATCTCTGGTTGGGTGAGGAGGAGGGAGGAGGATGTGAGGAGCGGGCAGGAGCTCTGCAGACTCCCCTGAAACCCTGCTGCAGGGAGAGCTAGGCTTAGAGGGGTAGCTTAGCCACAGCAAGTGTTAAGACACTATTTTCAAGATAATATTTTTTTAAAGCCATTGTGAATGTAACCTAGATATAAAATACATTAAACAACTATTTAGGGAAATCTTTATTTTAAATATCGCAGAAGCTTTGTGTTAATAGAACCCCTCCCCCAATTTTCATGAACATTAAAACATTTACTAGTCTCAAAACATGCATAATGACAGCGTTTTAATCATTCGCTTACTACATGCTTTTTAGATCCTCTAACATTAATTTAAATGACACCAAATCAATGAAAAGTTAAAAACATATGTGTTGGGCTTATTTTGCAGTCTGTGTCTAGAAAATAATACATTTACATGTATTAATATATTTGTAATAAATGTATTAATACACCTGTATTAATATTACCCATTTGGGGGTTGCTGTTAAGTAAATGTTCTTGGATTATTACATAGATGTGGATAACACAATCCCAATGCTGAGACGGAGGTTATTTTACATAGTTAAAAATAGAAAAGCTATCTTGTAATAGATTAGAAAAGAATCTATAAATATATACAGTCTCTGGCTTTTATTCTGTTGTGTTTTGCTTTGGCTACATGCAGAAGGCATTTCATTCCCATTGTTCTAGATTTCATCTGACACATGGGTAGGTGTTCCATTTGGTACCTTCAGGTCTTGGTTTTACCCAATATGGAGACGAAGGTCTTTCATTTTGCTATGTTGCCTTTATAGCTACTTAGACTATTATTTTTCCAAAGCTTGTGCTGAAAAGAGGTGGCAGGGTAAAAAGCACGTTGCAGGAATTCTTTTTATCCTCGGGTAAAACACCACCACCAACTTTTCACTTGTAAAGAAGATCAGGATCCCTCTTATGACACACACACACACAGACTCTCAGAGTCTCAAAATACAGGTATGCCTTCATCACTTTCTACCAGTGAGGACGATTTCTAAGAAGGTGATTCCTATTAGAAAAATGTGATGTGTTTTGTTTCTGTGCCAATACTAGGAAACCGCTGGAGATGGTATTGCAGGAGCTTCGAACGCTGCCTCAGTCGCACATTGACTTCCGTGCAAGACACACCACAGGTGTTATTCATCTTCTGGCCTCTAGGCTTCAGCGCACCTCAAAGCACCCCAAATGGTTCTCAAACTTGAGCTGCATTTAAATCACCCGGCGGGCTAGTTAAAACACAGAGCCAGGCCCACCCACAGGGTTTCTGCTTCATGGGTCTGGGCTGGCACCAGAAAATTTGCAGCTCCAGCATGATTCCAGGAGAAGTTGATGCCTCTGGTCCGAGGACCACGCTCTGAGAACCACTGTCATAAATAGTTCTTGCGGAGCCACCAGAAGATGATCTAGATGCTGTGAATCCACCCTGGGCTCACGCTGTTTCCATGGAGTTCACAATTGTCACAACAGAGTGAAGACCAGGTGGGCACGGGTCATTTCACATTTTCAGTTCCTATGTCTCGCCATCAAGTAGGTATCCACACCTGATATCCTAGTCCTTAGCCCTCTTAAAACTTGTCTCTCCTCCCATGTCATGCCCTCTTACTGGAGTTCAGAGAAATGGTTACTCCGGAGAGAGGAAACCAAGGACTGAGCTCTGTTAGTCCTGGCAAAAATCCTAAGACATTCCTAGGCACAGACCGGTCAAGGACAACTACGCCATTTCTGAGAGGAAACAGTGCTTACCGGTACAAAGCTGACCTTATATTTTAAAAAACGATGGGCTATCCCACAGAATGGAGGGAACAGCCGTGGATGTGTGTCCGGCCACTCCTCACCTTGCCCTCCCCCATCCCCCCAAAAATGTCAGTCTTAACTTCTCTCCAATTTCAACAAACAATTAAAAAGAAGTCTCAAAGCTTCCAGACTATGTCCTGGTTCTTAGCTCATTTGCCTTCAGCAACATCACATTAAAAGGAAATAACCCATTATTCCAGCGGTTCTCAACCTGTGGGTCGCAACCATTGGAAAAAACATATAGCATATCAGATATTTACATTACGATTCATAACAGTAGCAAAATTACAGTTATGAAGTAGTAACGAAAATAATTTTATGGTTTGGGGTCACCACAACATGAGGAACTGTATTAAAGGGTCGCGGCATTAGGAAAGTTGAGAACCGCTGCTCCCATTCCCAACACTTAAATATCTGTATCCTAAATAACACTGCTCTCAAATACTCCATTTATTATACCTATTGCAAAAATGTCAGGTCATGGAGGCAGTCATTTTATTTCTTAAGAAGAAAAGAAGACAATAGTATGATGAAGCAAGAGGTGAGTTTTGATCTCGTGGTGGAATTAGGGCCCAAGCTCAGGTCTGGGGATGAGTGCGATTCATTCCAGGGCAGATGGCTGAGGAGATACTGACATGTGTGATGACACCATCAAAGCTGTCCTGCCAGGTACCTCAGAGATTACTTCTCAGCTTAGAACACAAAGACCTGAGAGCAAAAGGCAAGCCCTCGTCCACCCGTTTCATGCTCTCGTGAACGATCAGTGTTTACCAATGTGATGTATCACAGTTCGTTTTCCTACCGAGTGGCTTAGGGAGAGCCCACGCTGAAGGTGGCTAGACCTTCTCCATCTCAATCTGCTGCTGGTAGTGCCTAGCCTGCCGCTGGCCAACGTTCAGCTTGTACACGGAGCTCTTGTGCTGGCACCTGCGGTAGCCCCACACGGCCGCCACGCCTGCCAGGAGCAGCAGCAGGCACAGGACGGTGACGACCGTGGCGATGATGGGGCCTCTGCTGAAGCTGGGACACTCGTCTCCTACACATGGCTCCATGGTTGGAAGAAGCTCCTCAGTTGCACCTGGACCAGGGCCTTCCTGTCCCAAGAAGTCCTCTGACAGCAGGTATGGGAAGTTATCCTGGACCTCGGGAGCCGTGGTTTCCATGGGGACCTGGGTGGCTGCCATGGTCGTTGAGGGAATGTGGTTGGGCATCTTTGGGACAGCAGTTGTTACTGTCTCCAGAGTAGAGCTGGTGAGTTCATAGGGTGAGGTGGCCACAGGAGACTTCTCTATGGCAAACCTCCAAGGGGCAGTTGACTGGTACCTGGTCAAGCCACCATCTCCCTTGCTGGGACCCTCGGTTTCAGACACACTCTTGGGTCGGAGAGCAGAAGCTTCTGCATCTAGTGTTTGAGTTGGAAGAACTGAACTGTGGGTCGTGGCCTCATTTGGTGTGAAGGTGGTACTCCTGGGCTTATTAACTTCCACAAGAATGGGCTGATGGGAAGTAAAGAGAGCACATTCTTCCAGCCCTACTGACCCATCTCCCTTGTCCCCGTCTTCTTCTACTTCCTCCTCTTCTGCCTCTGTCTTCCTCCACGCCCCATCAGTCACAGGGTAGCCGTCTAACCAGGACTCGTCGCTGCTGCTCACCATCGGGTCCCCTGCCTTGCTGTCATTCCTGCCTACATATGGCCCCGAGGGTCCACCAGTGCTGCTATAGGTCGCCTTGGTTTCAGGTTCACCTGGGGCCAACGTTATGCCACTGTGGTTGTCTCCAGCAGGAAGCGGCTTTTTGGTGTCATCATCCATCTCCTTGTCCAGCTCAAGCTTATGGAAG